CACACACACACACACACACACACACACACACACACACACTTTTGTGCTGGGGATTGAACCCCTGGGTCTTGCCCATGCTAAGCGCTTGCTCTGAACCATACCTCCAGCCTATTATTCACACCCGGCAGCTCTCACAGCTCTGCTGTCCGCATTCTGTCCAAGCGCCTGGCTACATTCGATGCACCAGCATTGTGAGGATGACTCCTACCTCCCCTGACACTTTGGGCAGAGATCTGAGTCACATGATTAATCTAATCCTAATGCTATTTATCTACACTTGGGCTATTCTTCAAGCCTTTTTAAATTGTTCTGTGTTCAGTGCTGTCCCGTCCCCTGAAAACAGTGGCTGTCAACTGGATTCCTCATGTGTGTGCTCATGTGAAGCAGAGGACAAGCTTGGCTGCTATTCCTCAGATATCATCCACCTTACTTTTTTGAGAGAAGGTCGATCATTGACCTGGTAGTCACCAAATAGGCTAGCCTGGCTAGCCAGTGAGCACCAGAGACCCACCTGTTTCTGCCTCCCCTGCTCTGGGATTATAAGCATGCACCACCATGCCTGGATTTTTTAATGTGGGTTTGTTTTGACTGCTGGGCAAGCACCTTGCTGACTTACGTATCACCCAAGCTGGTCAACTTAACTTCTCTTTGGAAAGAGATATAATGAAATCTTAATGTCCAGAATATATTCAGACAAGTTAACATTTAGACTACCTCAGAATCTCCAGAGCAAGGACCCAAGCATTGGTAGTTAGGACATAGCTCTGTTGGTAGAGTGCTTGCCTAGCATACATGAAACTCTAGGTTTAATCTCAGGCACCACATAGAATTCAGTGTAGTGGCACATGCTAATAATCGTAGCATCAGGAAGTGGAGTCAGGAGGATCAAAAGTTCAAATTCATCCTAAGTTACATAGCAAGTTAGAGACCAATCTGGGATGTGTGAGACCTGGTCCCCAAAAGAAAAACAAAACAACCCTCTTTACTTAATGCTCTATACCTGCCCTTTCAATAGGACACCCCATTTCTTTAATGTCACCATCCACCAGGCCTCAGTGAGACACCTCATAGTTAGCCTGAACTCAGCTCCCAAATCCTTCATGGTTGGACTGGTCTGAATCATTCCATCCCCCTAGTGAGACTCTCCTGGCACCTCCTGGCTCCCCGTGGGGAGTCTAAGGTCCTGAGGACAGCAGGCCCGCCTTGCCTCGTATGGCCTGGACTTCCTCCCCTGACGTCTCTCTCATCGCCTGAGTGTCTACTGTCCATAGTCCAAATACACAGAGGTTCCTGAGACATTCCAGGCCCTGTCACTCCTCACTGGGGCTCTTACCAAAGAGCCCAGCCACCGAAATGTTAGCTAGGTCCCCATACCTCCTGAGGCCACTGCTGGCTCCTTGTGTTCTCCAAAAGGACCATAGCATTATGCCAAGGTCCTCAGACTTCACTAAAACAATCTCTTTGGTGCTTGCCTGTGATTGTAACATGCAGGAACTGGAGGCAGGAGGACTGTGAGTCTGAAACCAGTCTGGACTATCTAGGAAGACATGGCCTTAGCAATAACCAACAAAGTCTGATGCACAAGTCTTTCCCACAAGCCTTGGAGCACATTAAAGGTGAGGGCTTACTAATATTTGTCTATCTTATTTATAAGTTTAAATATTTGTGTATCTATTTTTTAAATGTGTGTGTATGTATGTGGGGTACAAAAATGTGGGTGTGTGCTATGGCATACATATGGCAATCCAAGGACATCTTGTCAGTTTGGTGTTTTCCTTCGACTGTGTAGGTTCCAGGGACTGAACTCAGGTTGTCAGGCTTAGTGCGCAAGGTGCCTTTTCACACTGAGCCATGTAGGTGGAGTTTCTCTGTGTTTTGGCAGCTGCTCACAAATAAATGCAGAGATTTAATATTCATCATAAATAATCAGTCCATAGCTCAGGCTTGTTACTAGCTAACTCTGCTTTTTTTTTTTTTTTTTTTTTTTGGTTTTTCGAGACAGGGTTTCTACATGTAGTTTTGGGGCCTGTCCTGGATCTCACTCTGTAGACTAGGCTGGCCTTGAACTAACAGAGATCCGCCTGGTTCTGCCTCCTGAGTGCTGGAATTAAAGGTGTGCACCACTGCTGCCTGACTCTATCTAACTCTTACATTTTAAATTAGCCCATATTTCTTATCTACCCTCTGCCACCTGGCATCACCTTCTTTCAACATGGGCACATTCATTTTGCTTCTCTCTGTGTCTGCTCTCAAGTCCTTAGACATCTTCCCAGCATTCTCTCTGCCCTGAAAATTTTGCATAGCTATTGGTGTTATGAATTATTATGTGAGGGGCCCCTGTGGGTATCCCGTGTGTGCAGCTGGGCAGATGCAGTGGCTGGCTGGCGGGTGGCCCACTTCATGAGAGCATGGCTGTGGTGGCAGAAAGGGCCAGTGATACACAACCCAGATGATACATCTGTGTGAAGAGTTTATTATAATAGAGAGATGAAGAGGCAGAGAGACAGAAAGAGGGAGGCAGAGAGAGAGAGAGAGAAAGGGGAGGGGGGGTCGAAGGGCACACACCTCATGGGAGTGGAGAAAGAGGAGTCTCTTGGTGTCTGCTCCTGACTTCTTAGACTTCTTCCCAGCATTCTCTCTGCCCTGAAAATTCTGCCTAGCTATTGGCCAATCAGCTTTTTATTAACAATAAGAGCAACACATTTTCACAGTATACAAAAAGGATTATTCCACAGCAGAGCCGCCTCATTGGTGCCCCCAAATTTGTCTTTCTGCAGAAAGACACTGTGCCTAGCTTGGAGCAGATCTTCAATGATCCTCAAGTACATCAGTGGATATGTACTATGAAAAGCCCTTTTGTGAGATTAGAAAAGTTGGATCTACAAGAATGCTTGCAAAATGAACTGAGATCGACAAAGTTTCTCAGGTAAAAATGACACTGTCATTTTGGGTTCAGGTCAAGATGTCTTTGAGACCAGTCTGCAAGTTTTCTTATCTGAAGGAGAAGGAGACGCCAAGAAAAACGGCAGCAGTAAAGTCCAACATCGTAGGCTGCTGAAGAGGTGTCTCTACTTAGGAAGTGGTCCTCTACAGCAACTTGAACTCAGTCCCCACATGGCCTCTGGCTACTTCACTGTCTTATTTAGAAGTCTCATTGGTGTAGTGGGCAGCTACTCCATAGGAGTGTTTAGAGGACTGAGCAAGTGAACGCATGGGCTAGCATCAGGGCCCAAAGTTAAGAGCCCATTAAATAGTATCCTTGCCATTTTCTGATGATTCAAGGAGTCAGTGGACAGAGTACATTGAGAGAGAGATTTAGACGCTTAAGCAGGTGTCTTTATGGTCTCCTGTTTCTTAGAGGACAATGTCTTTGGATCTAGGTCCTAGGTCCAGGGATGGGCTGACAGACCAGTGTCTGCCCCTTGCTCTGAGCCATAGCTCTTGGCCACAGAGCTGAGGAGGAGTCTGTACCATCACTCTGCAGAGGGCTTCTCGCTTCCCACCTCAGTGTCCTCGACTCCTCAAAGAAGAGAGGGAAACTGTAATGTGTTATACCTTCACAGACTCTAGTCACCAAGGACATTGTAAAAATAAAATTGGGGGGATTAAAAAAGAAGAAGTTGGGAGATGGGTGCACACCTTTAATCTGAGCAATTGGGAAGCAGATGTAGGTGGATCTCTGTGAGTTTGAAGCCATCACGGGGTATACAGTGAGACCCTGTCTACCACCCTCAAAACAAACAAACAAATGAATAACAAAAAACCAAAACAACAACAAAAACCAAGAAAAATGCCCACAGACTCTAGAGCTGCATCTTCTAGGCTGTGTTGACAGAAATCCCCAGGCCTCTAGACGGCCACTCAGTCACAAAGATCACCAATTTACATTTTTTTGAACACAGCAATGACATTATTTCTGATGCCATTCTGTCCACTACTTTTAGCTTTTCACTAGCTGTAAGCATGTTCTCTGAACCGTACATGATTCCACAAAGGGACAGAAACAGGAGAGACACTTCCACAATGGAAAGCCAAAACCAGCTCTCAAATTCTGCCCTCTGACTTCCACATGTATGCCATGGCATGCCCAGGCCCACAGCCACACGCTCCTCAAGCACACATAAAATAATATGGTTTTGAAAACCAAAATGAATAAGAATCTATCTGCCTCAGTAGGAGTGAAAAGAGAGAAGGAAATCAGAATTTATTGCTCTTACCTGTAGGAAGGAGATCATTTTCTATGTCCTCTCATTCAATCCTTGACAAAAAGTTCTTCAGGAAACCATTCTCAGTCTTACAGGAGAGTAAGTGGAAACTCACAAGACGAAATGACTTGCCAGGGTCACTGCCTAACGCGAGGCAAAACTGATGGGCGTTTCAACCAGCCAGTCTGAAGGGCGCTCCCACGTAGCAACAGCTCGCAGCAGAAGCACTCAGCTCTTAACTTTCACATTCTTCTGCTTGTCTGTCTCTAGCTCTCCCCACTCCCTCCTTCTCCACCCTCTCCTTCCTGTGTGCTTCTCTTCTTCCCTTTCCGGCTTGGAATTCCCTAACTACCAGTCAGCTGTGTAGCCTCAGGAATTCAAGAGGCACAGAGCACACCATCGTGGAGCACATCTGTAATCCCTGAACTCAGGAGACAGAAGCAGGAAGGCTGTGCATTTAAGGCCAGCCTGGACCACACACTGAGACCCTGGCTAGTGTCTGTCAGCTCCACTTTAATGGGCATCTGAATGTGTGTTCACGAAGGGGATGTGGAGGGAGGCACACAGCTAGACTGCAAGTTAGCAGGTCAGTCACAAGTTACATCTCCTTCTGTGCCAGGGACATTATAAGATAACCAGACGCATAGATAATGAAGGCACGGATGAATTGGATCTGGCTCTGTTATAATGCAAAGCTGGCCTGTGTCGTGGGTGAGACATTCCTGAAGCATATGGTAACTTCGAGTGAGAAGCATGCAGCAGGACATGTGGATTCCCATCAGCTGTGCCAAGAATGCATGGCTGGTGCTAGAGACACATGCCACTCCCTGTCGGCCTCTGCCCTTTCCTGTCTTTTCTCCAGGACCATTTTAGCATTGGCTCCAATGCTCTGAGGGAAGGGGACTTTCCACCCACAGGGGCTCTGAGAATTGCAATGATGTGTTTAGAGGTCTTATTTGAAACTGAACAGCAGTGTGCCTGACATCTGGATCATCTTCCTTCGTGGCCTTGGACAAACCAGTGTCTTGAGAGTGCAGTAGAGCTGGGTATGGTAACTCATATCTGAAATCCCACTATTTGGGAGCCTGAGGCAGAAGGCTGTCCATGAATTCTAGTTCAGCCTAAGCTACATAGTGAGTTACATGCCAGCCTGAACTATAAAGTGGGATTCTGTTTCAACCAAACCAAACCAAACCAAACCAAACCAAAAAACAAACAAACAAAAAAAACCCCACAAAATTTCCAGTAGTCATATTGTAAAAATAAAAAGTAACAAACTGAATCAATTTTTGTTTTGTTTTTTGATTTTTTGAAACAGGGTTTCTCTGTGTAGCCCTGGCTGTCCTGGGACTCGCTCTGTAGACCAGGCTGCCTTCGAACTCACAGAGATCTGCCTGCCTCTAGCTCATGAGTGCTGGGATCAAAGGTGTGCGCTACCGCCACCAGGCAAACAAAATCAATTTTAATACTGTAAACTATTTTATCTTACCCACTGTATCTAAGGTATTATTTTGGCATGTAGCTGATATAAAAATTATTGAGGCCTGCTGCACTCTGTTTCAAATATTTCTTGCTTTTTTTTCATACACTTAAAATGTTTCTTAAATCCAACATGAATTTTATGTTTTAAATGCTTCTCTATTGAACTGTTACGTTTTAAGTACATTTAATCTCACATGGAGCTGGTAGTGACCTCACTGGGTGGCACATGTCTGTCACATGAGGTATCGGGTGGGGCCTAGGAGAAGGTGTCCATGCCTAGAGCACATTCTAAGGAAGGACATGATGATGACAGAAAGCCTCAGCTGCACACAGTGCTCACAAATCTTCACTGCTGGTCACCGCAGCATGCCCTTCCAGTCCTCACTGAACAGTTCCTCAGACACACAGGCTTAAGCTTTGGGGTCTGGGACCTGGCTGTGTCTGTCGGGAGAACGCTCCCTTCCACAGCATGACGTCATTGCTGAAAGCCTTGACAGGCCTTTGGAAAGGGTTTGTATTCATCTTGCCGGCTTCTGGACCTTGTATCAAAGGCTAGGCGTGGTGGTACACACTTGTAATCCCAGGACTCAAAAGGCTGAGGCATGGGAATTGTGAGGGTGAGGCCAGCCTGTGCTACACGGGGAGCCTGTCTGGGAGAGAGGAGGGAGGGAGGGGATGTATTTGGGACTAGAGAGATGGCTCAGCAGTGAAGAGCACTCCCTGCTCTTTCAGGGAATCTGAGGTCAGGTCCCAGCATTCCTATTGGGTGAGTCACAATCACCTGGAAGCCCAACTCCAAGGCATCAATGCCCTCTTAGGGCTTCTGAGCCCACCCATACCCCAAAGGCACCCCCCACATGGTACCATCTTACATGTGGGATAGACTCACACATATACATAAGTAAAAATAAATAAATCTTTTTAAAATGTTTAGTGTAGGCACATGACTCTGTGGCTAAGAGCACTTCTGTATAGGACCCAGATTCAATTCTTGGTCACAACCATCTATAACTTAAGCTCTGGAGATCTGTTGTCCTCTTCTGGCCCCACAGGCACCAGGCAGGCAAGGGGTGCACATTCGTGCAGCACAACACTTATATGCACACAGAAAGGGTTAATAAAAAGCGACTTAATGAAAGCCAAAGGAAAGTAACTACACTGAATGAAGTTATTAAAATCTGGTTACCCAGCCTGTAAGCCAGAAGACAGATCCTCAGTCATTGGTTTACATTTCAGATGGTAACGTAAGAATATGTCATAGCTTGTGTAAATGTTCTTTCCGCACTGGCTTGTTACTGTCTGGTGCCCTGCGCCTTAGATTGGAGATGTGGAGCTAGAATTCCTAAGAATACCCGTTGTATGATGTGGAAATACACAATGGAAATAGTATGGCCAGACAATGGAGACATACAGAGCAAGTATATCTAGTGCTTGTAAGCTAATTCTTAAGTTTGTTCTGGAATGTTCTGCATGCTCAGAGCACAGAACAGATGTGGTATAAGACTCCAGTGATGGCTTTTATAGGGTAAGATGCTCTCCAACAAGACACCTCTCATGTTCTATATAAAACACACTTGTTTTAGAAGATGAGGCTGGGTTAAGTCTGGAGTCTCACAGGCCCCAGTGGAGGTATAGAATGGAAGTTCAGGGTGGATTTGAAGTCACCCATTGCCCCTCAATGGTGTTGTGGTATTAATCAGGAGTAGTATTAAGAAGCCATTGAGGAGGCAGAGCCAGGCGGATCTCTGTGAGTTCGAGGTCAGCCTGGTCTACAGAGTGAGATCCAGTACAGGTACCAAAACTACACAGAGAAACCCTATTTTGGGGAAAAAAAAACCAAAAA